TGTGTGTGTGTGTGTGTGTGCGTGTGTGTGTGTGTGTGTGTGATATGTGCATGTCAGAGAAGGACGTTGGGTGTCCTGCACCATCCTCCACCTTTTTTTCTTGAGACAGGGTCTCTTGTGGAACTTGCAGCAAGGCTAGTGGATACCAAGCCAAGCAACCCTCTTATCTTTTCATTCCACAGCCCTGGAATCATAGGAATGTGTGCGGCCTTGCCTGACTTTTTACATGGGTGCTGGGGGTTTGAACTCAGATCTTCCTTCATAGTAAGCACTCTTACCCACCGAGTCATTTCCTCAGCCCTTGACTTGCTATTCTTATAGTCCATGTGAAAAAGGCACTAACTTATTTACAATATACATTGTAGCTGAAGAGTCAAAAAAAATCTACCCCAAACAAGGAAACTACATTCAATTATATTTTGTTCTTATTTGACTATAGGACATTTATTAGGCATCAATAAATGCAATTTTATTAATTTCCTGAGCAATTCCATTAGCATAGGGAGAGGATGGCTAGGATTTAGAGGCAACTATTGACTATAGTGGTTTATATACAAAGCCATATTTTTAAAAACTTATGTATAGTGCAATGCAGGGAAAACTAGCAATTTGCAATTCTCTCCAGACAGAAATACTAGTGGTTCTGAAGGCCTATATTTGATGCTGAATTACAGACAGCTTTTGATGTTAAAATATTTTCTTACCTTAAAGCAGTTTTTGAATCTTTTGCTCACCAAATATAGAGCAATTGGATTAATACAGGAATTCAAAGAAGCCATGTTGATACCGATGTAGTCCAATACCAACAAAAAGCTGTGAAAACAAAAACCAAAAAACCCAAAATGTGTATGTAAAAAATATTCTTTGAGTGTATATTTATTGCTTTTGTGTTTTTATAAAGAAAAAAGTCACCCATATTCAATGATTCAGAGTTTAACTACTCATTTGCTAGTAGAGATATTTGTCTCTGTTTGTCTCCTCCTGTCTCTGTTCTCTCCACTACCCTCTCCCACTGTCATCACCCATATCCAACTCTCCTTTATAGAATAGCCTCATTTGGAAGTGATGAAACTGCTGGGAAAGAAATGGTTTTCATTTACAGTGTGGTCACATCTGGTACTTTCCATCTTGCCACTCACTCATCATTTTGACATCTCTGTGCTTTGACTTCCCAGGGTTCTCTGATGTCCCTCTTTCTCCCTCTAAATCAGGAGTGACGATAAGATTGGGAATCTTAATTGCACTGTAAGGATCAGAAAAGTAATATTCTTCCTGCCTATTAGAAGGATTGATGGGAATATTTCTGAATGGCACTTTATAACACAATGTTTTCTATTCTTTCTTCTTTTAAATTTTAAATTAGCATGCACACTAATGAGTTATATTATGGGATTTCACATATGTCATCACTTGTTCACATTCGCCACTCTTCCCCAGCATCTTCCCCTGTCCTCCATCTGCCTCTTTCAGGTTTTCTTCCCCCAAACAGTTCCCCCTTCTACTTTGATGCCACATGTATTCCATGCATTCTTCCTTTCTTACCTCAAAAGTTCACATCTATTGGGATCACTCTGGTCATAAAGAGTGAGCTTCAAAATCCTGCTGAGGTGAAGGGGAAGCCAACAGAGGGCAAAAACAAGGACCAGGCAGAACACTGTTTTGGCCACTTCTCGCCTCTGAAATAGAATCATAGACCCTTAAAAACGACCTCTTGGTGTTTACAGCATGCATTCTTCTTGAAGAGGATATTTCATACTGTTTACAAAACTCAGCGAAACTTATAAAGACTCAGGACAATGAGCACTCAATTAAATAGTTACTGTGAATTACAAGTAAAATTACACAGGGTTCATCTTTAAAAAGTCAGGGTTCAGGCTGGGCAAGGTGGCACAGGTCTGGAATCTCAACACTTGGGAGGCAGAGCAGGTGGGTCAGGAGTTCAAGGTCATGCTTGGCCACATGGTAAGTTTAGGGCCAGCCTGGGCTACCTGAGAGTCTATCTTAAAAAGCAAAATGAAACAAGTAATGGTTCTCTGTAGATATTTTTATTATATACATTATCTTTAAGTAAAGAATATATATTATTATTTATAATCCTAAAATGCCAGAAGGAAGGAAGAAAGTAGAAATACGTTCTGGTATACACCAGTTGTATCCTCATCAAAAATTTTAACCACATGATCATAATTATGAGCAGGAGCCACCAAATCTTGGCAGTCTCTTACCTGCTTTAGGTGATCATTTAAAGCAATCTGCATGCCACTCTTCTTTCTCAACATTTCACAGGTCATCAGGGTATAAAAGAATGCAGTGATGGCTAGCGGCAAGCAGAAATAGAAACTGAATAGCCACCAGTCTTTAGCTGTCTTGTAAAACTGTGGGGAAGAGAGAAATATTATGGTTACTCTTCCTCTGTTTTAAAGACCCTTATGCATCAAACGTCAACTAGAAAACAAAACATATTCATCAAGGAACAATGCTCTTGTAACAGAGATCTTTCACATAAATACTATATCAATTTCCTTAGGCCACATCTTCTGAACAATTAAGTAAATATACATTTCAAATGAAACAAACATTACAGAAAGTATTTCAATTCTTTGGGACAACATAGTAAAATTATGTGTGAGACTTAAGTAGTTGGGCAAAATTTGGAATTTTGGTTATTCAATGTTTTGCCTTCATATAAACAACTCATTTTTAGGGAATTCTTGGTGTAAAATATGTAAAGATTTCCCAGTGTTTAAGTGAAGTTTTCACTTTTTACTAAGTATGTTTAGGGGGAAAATAAGTATGAAAAGACATGCATTAACCACTAGGTCAATAGCACATAAATCTAAGCTTAATTTAAAAAGTGCTTGTTAGTTACATTCTTCCCGTGTTCTTTCCTGTTGCCTTTTCAAAAACACTATTGATCTAGACATATCTATATTGGAGAAAATTTTATGTACCCCATGTGGTTCCCCCCATTTTAGTAAACAACAATCTTATACTTAGTTTCACATTGATTTCCTTCTTTGTTCTTTTGCTTATTATTGTATGCCTAGTTCATAAAGTTTTGTGTAATGTTCATACGTGTAAGTAGACCACTGATGATAATTAGACCAACCCCCTTTGTATTAATCCCTTCTGCTGAACAAAAAGTCTTTTACATTAGGATCAATCTTTTGGAGAGTAGTGTCCTCACGCTTTTCTGTTTTCTGATCAAACATTTTTTTAATAGGAAGCTGAGATTTGACATTTTCCAAAGGCAGCTTCTCATTTAGCATCAGAGATGAGGGGCAGCTGCCTAATCCACTCCGATTTGGTGGCTTCTATTTAAACACAGGCAAAACCATCTTCTTCTCTAATGATTGCTGGGTTGTTTTATGTAGATTATATAGTAAGTGACCATCCTTATGGGACTATGGGTACAAAAAGCTGCAAAGTTACAGCCATTCTCATAGGAACCCTTTTTATCTGTGCCCCTGAGAACAACAGTGTTCTTGGAGAAGTAGTCATCCTGGGTCATTAGTTATCGTTAACCCCATAGTCTTGGGATCTAAATTCTTAATTTATGCCAAAGATAGTCACAAATCAATAGTTTAGCAAGGAAGGGAAACCAGGGAAGATAGTTAAGTATTTATAAGGCAAGAGCAGAAAGAAAAAGAAAAGTAAATCTTACCTGCATGAAGGCTGTTTTCTGAACAGGATGAAGCAAGCAGATCCGTAGAGACTTTCCTTTGTAGTCTGTCGTAATCATATCAAAACCTATGGCTTCAGGGACAGCCAGAACCACGGAGACCACCCAAATTAAAACAATTTCTACTGCTGTCCATTTTGGAACCCCAATTCCTTTAATACGACTCCAGGAAGCAACAGCTCGATATCTGAAGATGTAAACAGAATTGTTTTTCAAGCTGGTAGAGTTTGGTTTGACTGAATTACATAGTCTATTTCCTAAGATACATATAAAACAGTCATATGGTGTTTAGGATCTTCTTGGTGTAGGAATAGACTCTTACCTGTCAATACTTAGAGCACACAGACTCAGCACAGTGATCCCCACAGAGGCCTTCTGGATGAAGGGCACCAACTTACACATCTCAGCTCCAAATGGCCAGTCCTCTGCGAGCAACTGCATTGAGGAGACATGACATTCTGTCAGAGAGAATTTCTCAAGGCCACTCTGAACTGTATCACTTAGTGCAGAGTGATTAACAGGCAGGGTTAAGATAATAAATTTTTGTTGTTATTCTCACGTTACTCTTTTGAAAAGCACCAGTGTCCAACATATACAGCAGAAGACTGTGTTGGGAGTGACAAAAATGCCGCGGTTCATGAGACTCTATCGTGTGTACACAGTGGCTTAGTGAGTGATTTAGTCAGAGGAATCTGCGAGCTCATCTGGGGCCAGTTGCTTAATGTCCCTTTAGAAAACTGAACCTGCATACTGTCATGTAGCCTCAAAGCTCAGATCATGGCGAAATCAAAATTTAAGTTAATTTAAAACAAACCATAAGTATTCCTCAGTGGAGAAGACGAGGCTGCCTCTATGGAATGGTACTCTTTGGAGAGCAGCATGTGTGCTCAAATCCTATCTGCAGTTAACTTACTTGATTAACTCAGCCAGAGTTAATTAACTCACACTGATCCTTGAGCACACCAGGCATGCTCCTGCTTCAGGACATTTGGTGTACTTCAATTTCTATGCTGGTTGTTCTTTTTCCAAAGATGGGCCTGCCTTTTCTCACCTCCTTCAGATACTGCTGGGACCTCCTCTCCCCTCAGGACCTACCTGGAGCACACTGGTTACTACAGCCACTGGCCAGGTATCCTCTCCTTCACTCCACTCCACTACCCTTTTCGCTGATAGTTCTTACTAACTCTTGCTGCATCTAGCAGTTACTTTATTGCTTGCTTTGCTTTTGCTGCCAGACTCATTGCTTAGAATGCTTGACATATGGCAGGTGCTTAGTAACTACTGATGCTGCTGAAATGCATCAACACTGAGCCAAAGGATCTCTCTCTCTCTCTCCCTCACACACACACACACACACACACACACACACACACACACACGCACACACACACACACACACACACATACACACATATACTCTCTCTCTCTCCATATGTATTTTCCTTATCTGACCTCAGCATTAAATGTAGTTATTTTCTTTCTTAAAACAACTGGGTGTGTCCCACACTGGTAAATGAATCAGTTTAGGTAAACATCTGGATCTAATGTTCATGAGGTTTTAAAAACAAAGAAAAATATTTCAAATCTATGGGTTTTGAAAAATGTTTTAAAAAATGTTTTTAAAAATAACCTTACAAAAGTGAAAACTATTCTGAAACACAATTGGGTGTTCCTGCCCTTTTACTAGTAATGGAGACTCAGTTGGGTTTGTCAAGCTGGGTTGATTGTTCTGAAAGTAGAACATAACAAACACAAGCCAAAATGTGTATTTTATTATGAATATGATTTTAAGATGGAACACAGAAACAATTTTATTTATAAATCAGACATGAAAATTTATACTGCTGCATGGAACAAAGGCTGGGAGACTTAGCACATATGTGCTTAATGTAGAGCCCTGAAAACTGACAGGGAGAGGCACATCAATAGAGAGCCGAATGTAAGCAAATCTTTAGTGTCAGGAAGATAATGAGGAGTGGTGAGATCTGGGGTAAGCCTTGTCTGGAAATAACAGCTGCTAATAATCATTGTATGCTTCTGTTAAAGTGTCCTCAATTACAAAATCCCTTAATTTTTGAGAAGTTGGTAATCAGAATTTTTATAAGAAACCTTATAATTTATCAGTGTTTCTAGTTATATATTTAAAAACACTATCACATAATATTGTATTAACAGAACAGATTCCATAATGTAGCTTATGACTTTTTGATTCATCAATTAACTCATGACTGATAGTTAATGCATTCAGCAAATGTTTATTGACTATTTACTGCAAGGTCTATTCTGAGTAGAGGGCGCTTATCAATAAACAAGGCAAGCTCCTATTTCTTGTAGAGCTTTTTTACCTTTTTTTCACCTCATGGAAGTAAAAATTACACCTTGATATGGTGTCAAAGCGAAACTGCCATATCAGGAGAATGCTGGTGAGATCTGAGGTGCTTTCTTAAGAAGCTCTCTAACAATAAGAAGCTTCTCTTTCTGAAGAGATGACACTCAAGTAGAGACTTCACTAAAGGCAGCATAAACCCTGTTAGGAAGAGAAAAGAGCTAGAACAAAGGCCTGGAGCCTGGTGAACTGTAGGGATAGTAGAGAGGCTTCAAATCTAGAACTGAGTGACCTAGCCAAATGAACAGATGATGCTGAGAAGTTTGAGTCCATTAGGAGGTCCTGAGTAGGAAAGTGGCAGGATGTTGTTTTTAAAGCGTAACTTCAGCTGTTCAGAATGTAAGTCAGGAAAAGAAGCATTGGTGGGAACTAATGGTGGCCTGGATCATGTAACCTAGCCATCATACTGAGATTAGTAAACCATTTCCTCTTGCATGAGGCTTAGCCCATTCTTCCTCCCTACTTAAAGTTAAAAACAAAGCAAAACAATAGAGCACATTCTTTTTTTGTCTCCTCAAGCAGATCAGGACTTGAGCATCTATTCTATCTTCCTATTATTATAATTATCAGTTAGCTGATAACCGTATCTTTTTGCAGAAAAATGAGCTAAGAGTCTCACAAGGTAAATTTACAAGCTTTAATGATCTTTCAGATGTCCACTGGCATTGCATGGTCTGAAACACTGGATTTTTTAATGCAAATTTTGAAGCTACCGGTTTTGTCCCTATGACCTTTTTCCTTATATAATGTACAGTCATGGCAACTATGGATTTGAGGCCTTATCCCAAACATTCTCAATTGGCGCCTTCCTGGTTAAACTCTTTCTGAGCATCAGGTTGGACTTTTACTGCATATTGAGCATTTAAATCTAATTTAGAGTTTGGAATCAAAATAGGATGAGCTAGCCAGGAGTTTTATGAGCAGGTAGGTAGAATATGATTCTTGGTTTAGCATCTTAGGGAGGTTGAAGATTCAAGGGTGCTGTTTATATTAGGGACTTCCCAAGATTTTCTTCTCTGAGGAGAAAGCCAAAACCACTCAGAGTTAGGAAACTTCCAAGCTTCAGTGCATTTTTCCAAATTGAACCAGTTCTATGAGCTCAGTATTCAGGGGCACAAAATTCTCTGTCTTCTGGTTTGTATGTAGTTTCTTAGGTTATATGTAAGACAGGCTCCCCAAGGCAATTTGATAGGTGGACCCTTGCTTTGTGGAACTATAAAGAATTTGCTGGACTTCACCTTTCTGTTCTTCTGTCAGTTGTTTGTTTTATGTAGTGTGTTTTCTCTGTGTCAGCAGCGACTTCAGTTTGGTTCTAGCTTATAGCTTTCAGTTATGGGTCAGGCTGCTTTCACTTAAGAGTCTATGAAAAGGAGGAAAATGATCTTTGTAATGTTGTTTGCCCAGAGTATACTTTAGGTTCAAGAAGAAAATGACTCACAGGCAGGACCCTGAGTTATTATGACCTCTGGTGATTAAAGTTGTTCTGTAAGACAGAAGGCAACTAAGAGAACATCCAGTATTTAGGAGCTTTCATGTTACTTTCCCGTTGGAGGGCCTGAAACACATTTTGATGCATCCCCTTTGCCTACTTCTGACTGACTTAGTTGGACAAATGATGGTCCTTCATATTAAGATTACCCTTCCTACATGGAAAATATGTTGGCCTTCATTTTTGCTACTTATCACTCATTTGGGCTGATAAGCTTTTTGAATACTATGCTAACAGCTGAATAACCCCAAATGGTTCTTGAGAAATCATAAATCCAGTGTATACACTGAATTTGACACCCAATAACTTACATATCACACCCAGTGACTCCTTCTAGACCACAGGCAATCATAGTTCCCTATGTTAGAACCTAAAATGAAAATGATGGTAGTCTCTGTACTGACAATTATGAGATGCCAAGTGACAGAACTAAATTAAAGTCTTAAGCTATAGGCAGCTAAACAAAAACCTCAGGAAGATCCCTCAAAATTTTTGGAGTATAGCTGTTGCTATAAGGGTGTCAACCCCGAGGCTTCAGAAAGAAATGATCAACATGGCTTTCAGGCCAAGTATGCTTGATATAAAAAAGAAGCAACAGAAAGTGAATGGTACTTTGGGACTGTGTATATGATACATCATAGAAATGGCTTTTAATGCTTCAATAGCAGAGATCAAGCAGGGGACTGGAAGGAACAACAGACAATGAGCATCATTCACTCAGAATCCCAGAGGGAATAATAGAAAGTACCATGAGAAGAACAAAAAGAAAGAGCAAAATTGACCCCTTCTAGGAACAGTCAATGCCCTTATGGCAAGGAAAAAGGCCCAAACTGAAGATGCCATGGAGTAGAAACACAAGATAAGAACTCTACTAACCAAAAGACAGTATTAGACGGCATTTCACTCTCTCCCCATGTCTAACGAGTCTTCTCAGTGTCCCCTCTACCCATCACCATTCTCAGTCATTAAAGCCCATCTTAATTCTTTCTCTCCTTTCCACATCCCTTGTACACACTGTTCCATTCTGCATTTCTGCAAAGTTGACTTAGTGATCTAATGAGTGATAGTGGGGCTGCTTTTGTGATTAAATAACTCAAAAAGTGTTCAAGATCTTAACATCACCTGGAAATGACAGACTTCAAGGAGAACACAATCTACTGGAAAGGCAGTGAAGAGGGACTATGCTTTGCAAAGAATCATTTCAAGGATCTGCCAAGAAACCAACTTGACATGAAATAAGGTATTGCCTATTGCTTTGCTTCTGGTAAGCGTGGCACCAGAGCAGGCTCCAGTCCTGCCCATATGAGTCAATGTGCGGGAGGCTATTCCAGCCATCTCTACCAAAGGGAGACCTGATTCTAGGAACAGAAAGCACAGTCACTGGTTGCTTAAAAGTCTTAAATGAGTCCCAAGTTCTATTTATGAGTTTGCTTCCAATCAGTCACTGTTCTATAGATATGCTTCGTCACCAGTTTCAGGGTTGAGAATAAGCCCTCATTACAAGGACCTTAGGATTTTAAAACAGGACAGAATCTGTGGTGCTTTGCTTACTGCCCACTT